TCTGGAGGATAGGAACATTGAAATTTGAAAAGCACACTCCTTCTGGGGGGGATTGTTTGCATCACAAAACGCTTCTCCTTCCCGTAACCCCAACACCCCCACACCCACGTGGCCTTAGATAGGAGCCCTTCTCCGGGATGCGTGTGATCTCTCAGACCTCACACCGCGGGCTGGACGGCCAGCATTGTACAGTTCTGGTGGCGTGGGAGTCTCCAAGGGCCAGCGTCCATGGTGTGGGGTCCATAGGAACGTGTGGCTGGACCTTCTGGCTTTTCAGGGCAGGCCAGGAGCTGAGATTTTTCTTCCAAACTCCCAACACCTCTGCACCCACGGGCAGCTGTGGGGGCGCCTGGCAGGCTCACCCGGGCAATCCGGGCTCCTCCAGGCAGGACCCATCCAGGCTGGCGGCTGCTTGTAGGGAGGACAAGGACCTAAGGGGTCTGAGCTCAGGGCAGAGTCTCAGGAAGAGATGTGGACGGTGGCCTCTGGGGACAGCTGCCCGAGGGCCCATGTGGCCTCCTCTGAGAGTCCCTGCAGGGTGAGAGGGACAGGGATGGCACCGTGGGGACTGGTGGCCGAGGCCACAGCCACCGACCTGTGACTTGTACTCCTGCCCCGGCGGCCAGCAGTGCCCGGCTGATGCTGGACGATGTGCGGTTGGCAGCCAGAGGCAGGAGCGGAGTCTGGGAGGGAGCTGCCCCGAGGGTCAGCAGGAGGCCTGGCCAGCACTGGGTGGGCTGAGCCGCCAAGAGGCCCCTGCAGCAGGGACAGAGCCACCGCCAGTGTGGGGAGCAAGGAGGACAGTGCAGAGACCTTGTGTTGGGAAAGCCAGGAGGGCAGGGGAAGCCAGGGAGTGCAGGGGAAGCCTGGGGAGGGCAGGGGAAGCCAGGGAGTGCAGGGGAAGCCTGGGGAGGGCAGGGGAAGCCGGGGGAGGGCAGGGGAAGCAGGCCGAAGGAGTGAGAGGCCGGTGAGGGGCTTCATGTTCGCTGCAGGAGGCTGGGCTCCCGGGGGGGGGGTGCACTGCTGCGGGAGGTGGGCCCTTGGGTCCCCGGGCAGGGCAGGCGGCGGCTGGACAGGGGTGGTGGTAGGTTCGTCCCAGAGAAAGCTCTCGGCCCTCGGTTTAGCCAAAGCAGCACAGATGGAAGGGCATTTTGTGTGACCTTTGTGACCAGGATGAATTTGTCTGGAGTTGCCAGTCGCAGGGACCAGAATCATTACTTTTCCCCACAAATGACCCCCTTTTCCCTATTTGACCCCCTCCGGGGCAGCTCCCGTGTGCTCTCGCATCGGGGCGGATGGAGTTCTGCCACGGAAGGTGGCCAAGCCAGGCTGGCCACCCCCCGCCACGCGCCCGTGTGCATCCCGGGTTATGGCCTTGTTACTGCGGGAGACCAGCCGAGGGTCCGCGGTCCCGCTTCCGGGTCTCGGGCCCCACCGCCCACCCCGGGAGGCGTCACTGGGCTCGGACTCGGGCACGGAGGCGGGCCTCAGGGTGACTCAGTCTCGGGCCCCACCGCCCACCCCGGGAGGCGTCACTGGGCTCGGACTCGGGCATGGAGGCGGGCCTCGGGGTGACTCAGCTCCTTCCTGTAGAGCTGTTGTGCACACCTGGGTCTCATCCTTACGTCCGTGGTGGGTGGGTCCTGCTGCCCTTTTTACTTCCGGGATTGTAGCAGGGTGAGCAGAGTGCTGGGTCGTGGCAGAAGCATCTAGAATCCTGCTGGATCTGAGCACTCTGACCCTTAGCCTGGCAGGGACCCTGGGGGATGCGTGGCGCGGGGTGGTCAGAGCCCTGGGGACCTTTCACCGGGCAGGTTCCGGGCCACGCAACTGGGTCCCATGGAGAAAGTCTGATGGGGCGTCCCCTGGGGGCCCCCCGGCCTGGGCCTCGGCCGACCACCCTTTGTAACACGACTTCTGTTCTCACATTCTGCAGATATAACCCTCCCATGCCCCGTCCTCCCCCAGAGGAGGCCAACCCTCCACAGGCCACATCCCGGGACTCCAGGCGCCACCTCGCTCCCCACGGAGGCGGGGACCTCAGCCTCGTGGCTTGTTCTGTTCCGCAGAAAAAAACTTGGAAGTGCCTGGCCTCTATCTTAACGTCCACCGGGGAGGGAGCTCAGCCTTGCGCCACAGGGGAGAGCGGGCCGCGTGCTCCCGGGACCCCCTGCGGCAGCACAAGGACCCCATGCGCCCCGAAGGGCTCCTGAGCGCTGCAGCAAAAGCACGTCCTGCCAACGTCAGTGGCCGTGCAACAGGGCATCTGTCTGTTGTGAGGGGCACCAGTGTACTTCCCACTGGCGTCCTGGGAAGGAGCTTCACAGCGGCCCGGTCCTGGGGTAGACGTGTGGCGACTGGGAAAGAGGGAGATGCCAGGAGGGGCAGTCCGTGTGGGCTCTGGAGGCGGCCGGGCAGGCGTCCTCCTCCCACCCCCCAGAGCCCTTCCTGGGCCCAGGGACCCGCGGTGGCGCCCGCCGCCCTGTCCAGTCAGAGCCTGGCGCAGGCTCCCTTCCGGCGGGCGGGCGTCTCCTCGCTGCTGGGCCCCACCTGTTGCAGACCCGCCCGCTCAGCCCGCAGATCTTCCAAGAGCCAGGAGCGCTCTGTGGGTCGTGCCTCCCGGGAGACCCCCTTCTCCAGGTGGAGGGGCCGTCCGGGCTAGCCCTCACCAAACCCGGGGGCAGCATGCGCCCAGGAGGCTGGGTGTGTGTGTAGAGGGCTCTGTTTCCCTGTGCCCGAGTATTTAGGCACATTAGGAACATTTCATGTTCCTCTTCACATCTCCTGCAAAACAATGTTTGTACATTTAGGTGAATGTTCCAGTTTTTTTTCATGGTTTTTGTTTTGTTGGTTGTTGGGCTTTGCACGCAGAAAGAACATGCTAGACATGCTGTGCTTTTTAAACACCTGACATATGTATTCTGGCTTTGAAGAGGGCCTGGGTCCCTTTTCCTCCTGCTGTGGACACAGGCCACCCTCGAGGGCATGGGTAGGAGGGCACTGGGAGAGTCGGGCTGGCGGCACCAGGCCCCTCGCCTGGCCGCCTGTGAGCACACGGCAGGTGCGGTGAAGGCAGACTCAACTCACGGCACCCCATTTGTTTCCTGCGGAGCCCGGCGCCTCAGGCAGGCCCCCGTGGTCCCCTGTGGGCCCCTGTGGGCCCCTGTGGTCCCCTGTGGTCCCCTGTGGGCCCC